TGAGTTGGAGTGTGCGGCGGTGCTGGTCTTGGTGAATTTATCGGACTTGGCAAGTGGGCTGGTCTTGACATCTCTTCGCCACTTTCTTCACTTTCTCTTCTTCTGAAAGCTCTCATCCGAGCTTTTTGCCCCTGTGGGGTTCTGGGAGGACTTCGCGCGGCCGACTCTTGTTCACTTGGTGATTGGCCCCGGCTTCGCACTACTCCCTCCTTCAGACACCACCACAGGGCTAAAAACAAGAGAGCAATCGGCAGGACAAACATCATCAAGTCCCACCCGAGGATGTCATCCTCATCTTCTTCCTCCCCCTGGGCCTTGACAGTGGCCAGAGAGGCTGCCAAGGTGATCAACCTGATCAGCACGCTGGCCTTTTCTTCGTTTAAGGCCGCCAACTTCACCTCTTCCTTTTGAACTTCATCTTGAGCCTCGACTTTATCCTCCTTCTCAATCTTTCCTTCACCATTCTCTTCTTTGCTCAATGGGATTGGAGCCCCCATGTTGAGCTTCTTCTTGAGTGCCTCCAGCCTTGGTGCTGCGAGGGCTTTGGTCCCCACATCGGCGATCATCTCTTCGCCTGGGACATGGTGTAGTGACCAGAAACCATCTTGGATCACCTGCCTCGCATACGATGACCGCATGCGAAGGTGCCTCGTCCTCCAGCTTCCTCCCTCTGAGGTGAGGATCGTCAAGCCGGATTGGCTATCAGTCCATGCCATTCGAACTGTGGAGCCACATAGCTCGTCCAAAATCACGCCAATGGACTCGCCGGCAACCATACCTTCAATGACTTCATTCAATTCAGCTTCTGCTGTTGACAGGGTTACGGTGGCCTGTCTTCCAGACCTCCAGAGGATGGGACTTTTCCCCAGGAGAACCACCAGGCAGCCATGGCTTTCTTCGGAGGCTGGAGAGTAGGAGGCATCAGTGTAGACATGGATCACTGGCTCCGTTCCAGCTTCTTCTTCGAAGATCAGGCCTTCTTCTTTGGTCCTCCATAGGTACACTTCCCTATTTTAACGTAGAACCTGAGAACTCAAAAGTGTGCACTAACACCACCTCAAACCACTATGTTCTGCCTGCCAGGTTAGTGTAAGTGATCTGACAGGGGTGCCACCAACTACTAACATGGAAGGTGCACAAAGGTGGCCGTCTACAAGAATCACACTAACATGGAAGGCAAGAAATCAATTCAGCCAGCCCATACACATGCCGCTCATGCAAGAAACGCACACTAACATGGAAGCTGGGCAAAACTCCCTCCCAGTGCACAAGAAACTTCATGAAACACACGCTAACATGGAAGCTAGACAAGAACAAATCCAGCACATCCCAGCAAATCCATCTTTTTTTCCAACCCCTGGCCAAACGCGAATTGCTTGATTACTCTACAGTACCTAATCGAATTCTTGGATTGCTGTTTGCAAGACAGAGAAGCGCTCTTGAGCTTCCTGATTGTTGGGGTGATCTTTTTCTCTCTCTCTCTCTCTCTCCTTTTCTTTCTCTCTTTCCTTCTCCCGGTGCTGGCAAGCTTTGACCCAAAACAAGCAGCACAGCTTTTTTGTTAACAAGTCCACCGGCATGAACCGAGATCAACCACAATCCTCACAGATTCCATGTTAACATTAAATCATACATTTCTTTAACCTTCCACTAACATGGAAGCTGCTAGTTCTTCCTTTCCCAACAATGTTCCACTAACATGGACCTCGTGGAATGGCTCCTGCTCCTACCAGTCTTGACTAACATAGCACCTGAGCATGCAAATCCTAAAGTTACACTAACATGGATATGGTAAAAAATATTTTTTGATCCTCAGCTTCTAGGTTAAAATTGTGAAGAGTAACCTTTCATCTGCCGCGAGGCCTCTTGAACTGCCTTGGTCCCTTTGAGCACGGAAGACCCCACGCGGGACACACCAAACATCAGGTCAGGCCTCGTTCTAGTGACCATCCACAACATTTCCCCGACAGTCTTTTGGGCCGCTTTAATTTCGGCCGGCGACGGTGTTGTCGGGTGGGTCATCAATCATCATCGACTGATCCTTTGAGATTGGGATCTTCTTCTCTTTCAAGCCAGCTTCTGCTTCCAGGAGGTCGGCGGTGTACGACTGTTGGGAAATCAGCCACCTGTCTCTGCCAGACCTTGGATTGAGCTATGCCCAAGAACTTTACGGGCTTCTCTGCAATATACTCAGGGGCCGACGTGGTCCACTGAGCCTGCAACTGGTCTTTGACCGCCAGCATCACCTTCTTTTCAGCAACAATCATGATGTCGTCGACATATGTCATCAGCAGTCCTCGGAGCTCCGAGTCCAGGGCTTCCAGACACAAGGTTTCTTCTTCGCCTTCGATCTTGATCTCCAGTTGTTGGAGGGTCTCATCACGGTGCTCACCCCACAAACGTGGCGAGCGGCGGAAACCGTAGACCGCCTTGAGAGGGACATAGTATGTGTCCTTGGCCAAAAGCCCACGTTCCACAAAAAAGGAGGGCGGACACACCAGCAACAGCTGTTGATCTTCCTTTTGAGACATCTTGGCATTGAGGAAGGCCGTTTTGATGTCAACTACACAACCATCCCATTCGTGGATCACTGCAATCCAAACCATGATGCGCAGAGCTGCTGAGTCGGCTCCAGAGGAAAAATTCTCTTCATTTGGGTCCTTACTTTCGTAGTTTCCACAAACTACCCAACGGACCTTCTTCTTTCCCCCTTTTTTCCAGGCTTGCGCGTGAAGACCAGCTTGGAGGGGATGAACTCAACTTTCAGGCCTCTTGTCTCAGCATCTTCAATCATCCGCTTGACTTCACTTTTGGTCACTGGTTTTAAGGCCTGCTTGTCGGTGAGAAGGGACGTGATTTCATCTTGCGAAGGAGCCTCCCACATCACCCAACCTGCTGCCACTTCTTTCGGGGACACGATTCGGGTTTGGAGAACTTCTTCTTCTTCTGGACTTTCCACCGCCATAGACCGCTTGATCCGAGCAACGACTTGGGACGTCAGGATGGCCAAGTCTGGCGGGTCTTCAAGCGCCATCAGCGCTTCTTCTTCCAGTACCCTTTTAGCACGGGTCCTGAACTTTTCTTCTTTTGTTTCTTCATCTTCAACTTCCTTTTGAATACCTCACCCGTTCACTTATTGGGGCCAGGTCATCCCGCTCCCATCTTCTTCTCCTGACCATGACTTCTGTCAGAAAGGGCGGAAAGTTGGGAAGTTGGTGGAGCCTTTTTGCTCTGAGAACCTCGTTGCAGTGTCTTAGGGCCCATGGCCACCACTTCGAAGTTTCTTTGGCCTGATGTAAAGCCTTTCGAACCATCGTTTTCAGTGCTTCCACTGCGGCCTCTGCACGTCCGTTGGACTGGGGTTCGTCTCCGGCGGTTTTGGTGAGGATGATTCCCCGCCGCCTTGTCCAGTCATGGAAATGGCCTGCATATTCATGGCCTTGATCAGAGTGTATCTGAGCGACGGAGTATCCGTCCATCCTCAACCTCAACAGCATGTCCATTGTCGTCCTTGTGACTTCCTTGGACTTCTTTGAGTGCATGGGCAATGCCAACCTGAAGGTCTCGATCTTGAAGTCCTTTGGCGGCCCAGCATCAACTTCTTTTCCTTCGGCCTCAATGGCCCTTTCATCTTCTTCATCATCTTCATCATCAAACACCCCCCTTCCTGCCCGTTCTTCAGCCTCGGACAGTCCCCCCATCACCGCTTCTTCATCTTCGTGATGTGAGGCAGGATGTTCTCCTTCTTCTTCGTCATCTTCCCCGGCTTCTTCAATCAGCGGCCAGAGAGCTTCATCACCCTCTTCTTGGTCTTCCTGCCCCTGGACGTTGAGGTCATGTGCCAAGGGAAGCGCCCATGTCAAAGTGCCAACCTGGAAACCCCCCAGGTCGTAAGCTGGTTTTAGGGGCCCAGCTGTGTCGAGCGAAAGGACACCTGCCAACTTGTGTTCCACCTTTCGGTGAGGCGAACATTGTTGCCGAGTTTCTTGGCGTACTCGACAGTCTCTTCTGCTTGGCGTGTGCCCCAAGGCAAGGTGTTCGGCCCAAGACAAGGCACACAGCTTGACAGGTCGATTCATGACCTGCTTCATGAGAGCATCAGCCATCATAGACATCATCCCCGGAGGCCACCGCGCGAGGTCCCAGGAGCCACGGATGTGGTGCTGAACTCCGTTCACGGTGGGGTGTTCCTCAGGGTTCAGCTCGAGATTTCCCCAACTGTTGTTGGCTTCACAGCAGCTCCACCAAGTGGCTTTTGACTGAAAGTGGTTTCAATCCAGCCGAACTCCTTCTGAAGATCTTTCCACTCGGATGTGTCCCAAAATGAGACTGCTGCAGCTTCATAGTCTTTTGGTGATGCCGGTTGCTCAAGAGCGAAGCCAAGGCGTTCTTCTGAGCCTCGAGCCTTCTTCAGGTAGGCATCGAGTGCAGCCAGGAACAGCATCCTCCAAAGCAGCTGGTCATCTTCTTTCAACTTCACCTTTTCTTCAGGCGTTGCGTCTTTTATTCCAAACTCCTCTCCACCCCACCTCCTGAGCGGCCTTGCATCCGTCCAGTCGACTTGTCGGTGGCGAAGAACACTTCTTGTCCTGCAGTTGGGACCCCCTACGAGGCCCAGCAGCTTTCCTTCCCAAATGGCCCTGACCAGCCCGGAGTATGGACCAGTGTTGAGGAGCATGTCATGATCACTCCCCCTTTTCTTGTCCACTTCAAGCAACTCTTTCTCTTGGCCTCCCACCTGCTTCCATGCCCTCTGGCGTGTAAATCCTTCTTCTTCTCCAGAGAACAAATGGCAGATGAAGCCATCACGCCTCATGGCTTTTCTTTTCCGCCGATTGGCGGGGAGTGAGGACCATTCTCCTGGTTTCACGACCAAGGAGCCCTTGACGTCGTCAGGAAGCCTCCTGACGACCGGGTGTGCCTCCACAAAGTCCCTCATCCATTGGACTTCAACCTTGAATTCATCTTCTTCTTTGAACTTCATTCCCTTCTTGGTCTGCTCAAGCTCGTCGATCAGCTCGAGTGCCAGGTTTCGACAAAAGTTGCAGGCAGCCGTCTTTCTGCTCGACTGGAAGTGTTCCTCGAGCTGGATGCTTCACCTGCAACTGATCCTTCGACCAGGTCACCGTGCAGCCAAGGACGTCCGTCAGCAAACCCATCGGGATGATAGGTTCGATGTCTTCTTCGTCCGACACCATTGAACCTGCAGGTGAGATCGGGAGATCAACGATGCGGCCATCAGCAAGTGCCACCTGCACAACTCTGTTGGAGCCTTTGTCCTCCCCCCTTTTTGCTTGGTCGAAGAGGATGTGTTGCTCCCGAATCCAGCAACCCTTGTTTCTCCCCTTTCTTCAGCCGACACAACTGGAAGGCCTTCTGGCGGAGAGCATTGAGCTGCTGCTGCAATCTTTCAACAACTTCTTGCCTTTCAGGTGAGTCTCCCCCTTTGTTCGTAGGAGAGGTACCTGCCGATGAAGGAGACGGGGTCGTGTTCATCCCCTTGAGCATGTCATTTGCTTCACGAAGCAGCTCCTTGATGGCAGGCTGAACTTCATCACCTCCTTCTTCTTCAGTCTTGGCCTTGGACCCTTTGTCCCTTTCGGCCTTTGCGATCTTCGGCTTGGGTGACCCATCCTTTTGGTCCTTGGGTCGAGTACATGCTGGTGCAAAGTGTTCGCATGAACCACACACCCAGCAGCGCTTCTTCTCATCCTTGAGGTCGTGGGAGAAGGTGCATGTCTTTCCCCTTCTGCAGCCCTGGTCAGTCAGGTAAAAGCGGCACTTTCCTTTCTCCCTTTCTTCACTTTCTTTTCCTTCTTTCTTTTCTTTGGTGTCCCTGCCATGGTCCTCCATCTTCTTAATCTTGGGGAGCTCGGTGGGCGTCTCCTTCTTGCGAGATTGGTGGCCCATTTGTTCGAGCTCTGCTAAGAGGTGCTCACTGTACTTGGAGATGGCGTCATGGGTTGGAACTGAATCAACCATCAACGAACTTCGAACCAACTGCAGTCTGAAGTGGAGTTCTGGATGAACTGAGATCAGCTTCTTTGTGAGCTTGCTGAGGCCTCGAGCCAGAATCGTCGGGTCTGGGATCGATACCCCGACTTCCTCCGCCCTTCTCTTCCACCCCAACCACTTTCTCAAAGTGACCACAGCTTGGCCGATCGAAGTGGCCTCGATTGGGTTCTCGAGAGCCGAGAGGATGGCTTGCCTCTCCGACAATCCGCCTGGTTGGTAGGCGATCATGCCCTTGACCAAGATGCCAAAAGTCGACAGGCTCTTGCTCGAAACCACCTCCTCCCTCAGCGACTCCGGAATTGCAGAGAGCAGCAATGCCGTTGTCCTCTTCTCAAGCCTGTCTTTGAGCTTGGTGCAATCTGGTGTGTGAGGCGCTCCAAAGGTGACTTCGTGAGGTGGTTTTGATACCACTGCCGTGCTTGTTCCAGCGTGAGATTCCACCATTCTTCCGAAGCGGGTGTCAAATCTGCCATCAGCGGGGACAGAACCAGCAACCAGTCCGCGAAGTCGATGGGAGCCGACTCACAGCTAAACTCTTGGAGCTTGGGAAGCTCCACATTGCGCTTGACCGTCTCCGGGTCGTTGTCGTGGTCGGCATTGGAGCCTTTGGACATCCTGTCCTGGATCTTCTGCATGCCCTCCACCAGCTTCAAGATCACCTGAAGTGTTTGGTGATGGACTGTGTCATCTTCAGGGTTGGGTTCCTTTTTCTTTGACCCTCTTCCTTTGCCAGTCGATCCACCTTTCTCGCAAGCTTCTCTTTCTTCTTCTTCTCTTTCATCTTTCTCTTCTGGTTGAAGGCGAGCGATGTCTTCGGTGGGTGTCTTTTTCTTACCCCGTCCTCTTCCCCCGGTCTCCTCATGGCCTGAGCTTCCATTCGGAGTAGCGAAGACCTGTTCATCTTCTTTGGCCTGAGAGTTGAGGAGGTTGAGGCGACGGAGTTCATTTTGTAGCCGATGATTCTCCTCCAGTAGGACATGGACCTGCGTTTCGTGAAACCCTGTTGGTGGCTTCATGGAATCTTCTCGAATCCTTCTTTTGGCTTCTTCTTTTAACAGGCCATTTTCAAAGATGACTTGTTGGAGGTGCTTCATCAATTCATCCCTTTCATACATTTCTCTTGAGGGGTCATAGGCGATCAACTCTTGCGAGCTTCGGCTTTCCATTTCTTCTCTTTTCACTTCATGGGCCAAAAGAGTTGGCCTTTGTGGGGCCACCACTGGAGGTGCAGTTTGAGGCATCTCAAATCTGGCATACAACCAAGGAGCTTGTGCTTGCACCTGTCGTAGGGACTCCAATTGTTCTGGAGTGAACAAAGGGAGCTCTGGAGCTGTAGGTGGCTCTGGTGTCCTTCCATGGTGACCCAGCCCAACCATTCCATGCCCAGTCGCTTCTTTCCTTTCTTCAACTTCTTCACCCTTCACTTCCTTTTTCTCATGACCCTTTGGTCCAAAAACTTTTGGAGTCCTGGAGTGGACATCTTCCTTGTTAGGTCGTGCCGAACCTGGAGCTTCTTCGATGGCCGGTGTGACCGCTGCTGCTTTCGAGTGCGAGGTGGTGTGCTGTAGGGTGGTGGTTGGAGATCGTGTGGAGACCCCATCTTCTACTTTGGAGACACCTTTTCCACCCTTTTCCACCTTCCCATCTTCTATGGGCAACTCCCCACGCTCACGAGCCTCCCGCTTCATGCGAGCTTCAGCGGCCTTCATTTCTTTTTGGCCTTGCTCTAGTTCTTCTTTCGTGGCCTGGCGCCTACGTCGATCCATCATCTTGCCGTTGGGCTCATAACCTGGTGTTCTCGCACCAGGTCCGACACAAAAAACAACTTCTCTTTCAACTTCCAAAAAACCAACTCCAACGATCACGTGTCAGCGATCGAATGGCTTCGATGAAAGCGGCCGCTGTTCCTTTTCTATGGGGCGGCTTGGGTGCAAAAGAAGCTATTTCACTGCACATGAACAGTGAACATGCGCACATGGAAGCGTCCGTCCAACATATTTAAACAAAAACATGAACTGCAGCAAAGTGCCTCCTGACTCTCCCGAGATAAGTGGCTTGCTTCCCGACGTGCCTGTCAATTGCACACTGTTGGTGTCAGGGAATTGCAGGAGAATCGAAGAATGCAACACTGAAGCCGCCCTGTAACATCCCACTGTCTGAACCATCAAAAACACCAGTCACAACCAGCATCACGTTACACGACCAAATCTATATATACGGGTTGGGAGTTGTGGAAAAAAACTGACCGCCTGGTCGAACACAACTCATCTGCTAAGTTTTCATCGGTTCATGGCAACGTAACAAGCTTAATTAAACTTGACTTAAGCATGTTAACACTAGCGCTCCGATCCCATACTTGGCTCAACTTGGTTGATAAGGAGCAAGGAAATCTGGCTGTGTGCGTGTGTGTCAACACCTGGGGGGGCAATGAACACTTTGGAAGGCATTGCCCAACGAAGACCCTTCCATCGTGTTGCGATATTCCCGAGGGACGCCTTAAAAACGTACCTGCAGCTTTGAAGTAAACAATACTGCTCAGGCTGACTTTCTCACCTTTCCGTTGTGAGCAGGGCCCTTTTCAGGTCAGGTTGGAGCGCTCTAATTACACTGGTATTGTAGTCAAGTGGAAGATCAAAACTGATATTGCTCTTGCGAGCCTTTATCTAAGTGTGCATGTGTGTGTGTGAGAAACCCTTGGAGTCACAGGGAATCCGTTGATTTGTTACCTCTGACTTTCTTGCTTTAGATTAGCAGGGGGATGGGGAGGACGTGTAAGGCTCCATGCTCCTCGTACGCTCCTAGGATATCATCAGGGACGCCTGATGACGTACCTGCTTCAGTGATGACTTTCATTTCCCACTGGGCCCCGTTTTAACTACAACAGATTGCCAACCTTCGCACCTGTTTTGCGTTCTGCAGTCAAGTGCTCGTCGCTCGTTTTCTCGTCGATTTCCTCAAGTTCGTGACTTTGGCATTTTGAAGACTTAACTTAACCGTCTTACTTACTTCAACCCTGACCTCTTAGGCATTCATACCTAGGTGGGCGTGTGGCATGTGGCATTCAGTTCAGTGCGCATTTCCTAAGTGTAAGTGTAAGTGTTTGTGTGTGTGGGCGGGGGGGGGTCTTGAGGTCAGCCTGCATGACTCGAATTGTGTCAAAGATGTCTCTGATCTCCGTCTCATTGTCAAACTTTGGTTGTTGGACTGTATCAGAGTTGTCAGGTTCCTTATCTTCACTCTTTCCTCTTTCTGCTGGCATTGGAGTGGCCGGAGCTGGTGACCGTCCACCTCTTTTGTGCCACTGATGAACGCCAGTGCTATCAACGACATCACTACTCATAGTTGGCTATTCTATCATATAACTATAACATACTATACTATTTTAAAAAATAGTAAAATATATATATATACATGATATATTACTGTACATAATATTTACCCCGCTAATCAATGCATGTTTAGACACTCCCATAGAAAAATACAAAGCTATTCAAAGAAGCTCAAACAAGCGCGGAGAAGCTTTCGTTGGGCTGCCTGCGCCGTCCCCGACCATAGACAAAGAATGTCTTGAATGCTTTTGATTTCACAGCTTTCATGCAGGCTGTCCTGGAGGTACTCTTTTCATACAAGAAGTGAACAAATTGATTGAGAAAAAGCTGGATGCACGACTTCTTTTTCTAGCGCCCAAAGGCCCATGTTCACTCCGCTGAAGAGATGCGGCACCAAGCGGCAGGAAAGACCGCTTGATCATCCCAAGTAGTGTGAAGGGCGAAAAGAAGTGCCACATGAAGAAGTCCAAAAAACATAGCCTCTTTATATTGCCAATTCCTCATAATCTTTAGTGCTGAGTAGAGCTACACTAATTACAATTTGCCTGTCTCGTTGCATTGCCTGAAACGCAACAAATCTGCCGCAAGAGGGTTTTTCAGGTACAAATGCTGATTGCGCAAAAAGCCACCAAGCAAATACCTAGGACCTAGGAATATATCATTGTGATAAAGGTCAACATGTCCAACATGGTGGAGCCTGGTTTCGAAGCAACTGCCACCAAACTTCATCATGCTAAAAGCTTGCAGTTCTGTTACGTTCTATATAGATCTCTAGCAAGAGCAGAAAAACACATATGCTGGGGGTCTATTTTGTCCCAATCTATCCAGTGCATCAGGCTCAGGCTGAGCCAGACCAAAAATCTCTGGTGACCAGAACTGGGCTGAGCCTCGTCTGAATCGAATCTAGAGCCGGGTGAATGACTTGCAAACCACAACCAGAATTTGATATCTTCAGAAGAGTGTGCTCGTGTGTAATGTATCATGTGTGTGCCCTTGAACTCTGTGTAAGCCAAGATCTGTCGGGCTCGAATACTTGCCATTATATATCACTGTCATCTTCGTCTTGGGATTCTGCACTCAATATGCCATGGAGAACCCTGCGGTCTTGCGGTCTTGCTGCGGGCCAAGAAATGACCATCGCATTCACAAACTAAGGCTGGCTTGGAGGCATCCGAATGGATCCAAATTCTTGTAAACAGGCCCAGCAGCTCAGCCTTCAAGCTGCTCTTGACTTCTTTACTGATGCGAAAATGGCACGAAGAAAACATCCAGCACTGCAGCACAAGTTTCTGTCCCAAGACAAGTTACACAACATCTGTCTTTCTAGCAAATTCATGCTATTCATTTATGCCTCAAACCGAGTAGGTTGATGATCACTTCTGTGGATCTGGCTCGAATACTTCACTTGTCAACTTTGTTCGAGATATCGGAGTCTCCATGAACTCAACTGTTGTCTACATTCAAAAAAGCAAGCTCCTTGAAAGGCGACTAGGCTTTCAGGAACCCACGAAATGCGATCATGCGATCTCTGCAGTGTGAAAATGATTGAAAAATGTGCTTTTGAGACTTCTAGCAAAATCAAAACCAAGGGCATGAGCCTCATGATGTGACCCGCATATGACACATTGCGACATGTGTTCTTGCAATGCCAACATCAGTCGCCTTTCTGTGAACATCCGTCCCAGCTGCCGCCACCAACACGGCTCTGCGCCAGCAGTGTGGCCGCTCACTCCTTGTACCACTTGCGCGCATGCGCAGCGTAGGTCTCTGGAGACACAGCCTGATGGAGCTGATCTCAACTCAACACTTCAGCCACTTCTGCCCAGGATTTCAAGAAAGCAAGTGATGTATTTAGTGAAAGGAACAGACTCAATGTTCTCATAGTAAAAACTGTCCACTGTATGTCTCAAAAGGTGGATCAATAGCATCATCACAAAGTGCAAGATCACATACCGTCATGTGCACCACACAGTACGCAATCCTCACATCACCAATGTTTTTTGGTCAATTCTAGCGGTGCTCAAAGGAATTGTGGCACTGGCCAAAAAACTCTTGCTCTTGCGCTCTACCTCAACGACGATTGGCATAAAGCCATGAAGGGTGCCGCAAAGCTCGGAGCACTGGCCTAGTTGCGCCATGCAACAAAAAAGTGTTGAATATGTGTCTTGTTTCAGCAGAATTTTAAGGAGTTAATATAAAGAGGGAGGGAAGGGCAGGTAGCCAAGAAGTACACAAAAAGAAGCTACAGTGCAAGGACGAGTTCGGGTTCTTCGCATGATCGAAATGGTTCCTGCATATTGAAGGAAATTGTATAAGTAGGCCTCTGGTCCATGCTTGACCCCTCTATGGCCCAATTGTGACGCAGTCAGTATTTCTGAAGGGGGGCAGTGCAAGTGTCTTTCCAGAGCTATACAGCAATTGTTTCTTCGCAAAAGGCAGCAGCAGGTGAAGAACAATGGCCAATAAGATTTGTTTCAATCTCCGCTGAGGAATCCGCCGTAGAAAACTCCTTCACGCTGAATAAAGGTGTTGATACCTCTAAAGGGCTGCAAATATTCGTCCAGAAATCTGCAATAAGTTGGACAAGTCAGTCGCCAAAGTCGGTCCAGGCAAAGGTGCAAGCTTCTGAATTGCACACATGGGGCACGGTTGATACGACCAGGACACGCATCCGTCTTGACGCCCAGAGATGGGACTGACCAGGAGTGAATAACGTCCTGCTTACTCAAGCATGTGGCTGGCAGCAAAATCCATTGTTTGACTTGCACTCTTGCTCGAAATGGATTCTAGATAACGCTAGCCCTGCCAAGACCTGCTTTTGGCATGTTGGGAGCAAGTTTCTGCTTGCAGTGATGGCAATTGGCATACGGATGTGAGAAGTGACTGCCTTACGTGGTATACACCAATATAGGAATGTGTTCCACTATATTATAGATGTCTATATATACATGGGTAATTTGCTTGCCCAACCAGTCCTAGTGCAGCAAACATCTGAAGGAACGGTATCCCTGGTGATACGTGGGCACGGTACAGTACAGTATGGTATGGTATGGTTTGTATTTATGTATGTATGTATGTATGTATGGACTGTGCGTATGTGTGTATGTATACAAATATGTGTATATATGTATGTATGCATGCATGCATGTATGTGCTAGGTAGGTAGGTAGGTAGGTAGGTAGGTAGGTAGGTAGGTAGGCAGTCCCCCACAAGGACAAAAAGGTGCTTGGTGTCATGTACATATGTATGTATGTGTGTGTATATGCATGCATGCATGCGTGCATGCATGCATGCATGTATGTATGTAATGTATGTATGTGTGTTTGTTTGTTTGTTTGTATGTGTTTTGTTTGTATGTGTGTGTGTGTGTTTGTATGTGTTTGTTTGTATGTGTTTGTTTGTATGTATGCGTGTATGTATGGGTCTATGTATGTACGAGT